CTATGTACACTGAGTACTGTGTAGGGTACCTCATGCTAGGTGGGTGCTCCATAAACAAGAGTCTCTTCCCCTTCATAAAGCAACAAGTTTCACTTCAATTGTACACTGTGCAATTGATGATTCTGACCACTTTACCACTTTTGAGAAGGAGAACAGTTTGTTTCAAGAACTCTCTGGGGGAGGTGGTCCTCTAGAAGGCTGGTCTTCAGGGATGGAGTGATCCATCTCCCAGCAGTTTGGGGAAATACATCTCATACCACTCCCCATTCCCCATGATGAGAGCATCACCAAAGCTAGAACCATAAGACAATTATATGTTGCCATCAGATGGCTCTAACTTCCCCAAATTCTGTTCTCTTTTCACCTTCCTTAAAAGTTCATTCTTTTTTTAGTAGTGGCTAGCCAGGAGGCAAGGTAATGTTCCATTGATATTTGATTGGCTGCATAAAAAAAAAGTATTTTTAGTTCAGCTACCATAGTCTATTTATCTTAATCACATGTGATACTTTCTTAGGTTCTGTGAGTATTCAGAAAGATAAAATATAGTGCATCATTTTACGAATGGGATTTTTAGTCCCATTCAATAGCTATTCTAACCAGCTTCATCCCTATTCCTGGATGTTTGACAATGGCATGTTTTGGAAGTAGGCTCAAGTCGATTAAAGATCGTGGACTTCTAATTGTTTTAAGAGAGCACAGGCCTGCCAGCATTCATGTTCTCTGGAGAGAAAAATAAAAATATCCGTGAGTCCCGGGCACAGATAGCATTTTCTGACTTGATCCCTGGCCACTCTGGGTGACCTGATCACTCCCAGATGTCTTTCCCTGTTTTCTTAACACAAAAGCTCCTCAGTCCGATGGGTATTCAGCTGCCTCCAGGCACAGCACCTTGTACCAACTGTCTGTACTGTCATCAGAGGAATTTTTCTCTGTGACCCCTTTACGTCAACTTTTTATACAGTGAGGTCACAACAAACATGAGAGCTAGGTTCTAAAGACAGCACAGAAGGCAAAATCTATGTCCAAGTTGCCCCTGTGAAGCCCTTGGGAAGGCACAAAGGTGGAGATCAACACGATATCTATCTTAAGTCCAATCCTACTGGGGTGCTCCCGCATGGGGACCATGGTGACAGACCTATGTCAGGGAAGTAGAAACTGAAGTGAACAGAGAGATGAGCAGAACCAAGCTCAACCTGGGATACGCTTTCACTGAGCAGAACAAAGGACCAGACAACCTATCCCTATCTCAGTATTCGCCCCCTTCCCCCTCCCCCGACCCCTGGGCTCCTTGAGCTGCCTAGTTACTGTCTCAGGAGGTTAAATGCACTTATGCTACAACTCAGCTGTACTTTCAGTGGCTTTAAGATGAAATCAAAACTCACAGGTGTGCCACAACCCTGTTTCTCTCTCACTGTGGTCTCCTAACCCCCTCTTTCACTCCAGACACCTGCAGTTCTTCATGTAAGTCCTGCTCTCCGTGCCTCTGCTCGTATTTTCCCTCTACCCAGACTGTCTGAATCCCCTTTACTCCCCTTAATACCATCTCTCAGAAGCTGCTCCTGGCCCCATGATAACCCACCCACCTCGCTCCCAGCACTCACCAAGTGATGCCACTATCATCCAGTCTCTTGTTCCTCTCCCACCTGAGCCGTGCACGCCAGGGGCAGGGCACACGTGTCACTCACATGTGCTGCAGCCTACTGCCCAGGACTTGCTTGGCTCCAACAACAAGGGAATACACACTCTTCCCAGGCAATAATGAATCAAGAGAGCTAAATGAGAACAAAGCAGGTCCCCTCCAGTCTAAGCCCCTAAGCCTCTGTCAACCAAATTTAGAACCTGTTCCACTAACAGTTTCCTGACTGTCCCTTTTCCCAAGTTGCACCTGGCTCTGAAGAGTGAACTCAAAAGTCTGAAGGAATCCAATGCAACTGAAACCACAGGTTTGATTTTATATCTCTACTCATCCAAGTATCAATTAACACTTCTCTGATGGCTCCCGGGGGAAGAGCTGTGGCCCCAGGAGTATGATGAAAGTTCTTTAACAGAAGAGTCAGCCAAAAGGCTATTTTGAGCAACCAGTAGTTCTCCAGGGACATAACTCATCCTAAAGAGAGGCTCGGAGCTTTGGTCCAAAGACATTGTTTCTGAGGTTCAAAAAATGTTACCCAGTCTCCAGTTTTCCTATCTGAGTTCTAGGAAGATGGAATTGCAAGAAAGGCTGAAATAGCTCTGACAACTATAAGGCATCAGGGTGAGAGACAGGACTATGCCTCTCTTTACAAGGTGTGCTAGATTGTACTACAGGCCCCATTCTTCACCTCTCCCTATGCTCATGCCCTTTACTATATGCATTTGTAGTTCTTCTCACTACAGGGGTAGAGAATATTTTCCTGTCCCTTGACTTTGGGTTTAGCTATGTGACTTGCCGTGGCCAACAGAACAAGGCTTAATAACAGTGCACCAGTTCTAAGCCTGGGGTTTAAGAGTCATTGCACATTTCTGCTTGCCCTCTGGCACCTTTGCCATGCTGTGAAAAGATACGCTTAGGTAGCCCACTGGTCCGAGGGGAACAATGAAAGATGTATCAAGCAGAGCTGATCTCTATTACCAAGCCTAGAACCCAACCTCTGCTGAACCCACATGTGTGAAAAGTCAGCTAAGAGCCAAATGAATCTAGACTGGACCAGCCAACCCTCAGCTGACCTGCAGATCCATGAGAATAAATGATTACTGTTTATACCACTGAGTTCTGGGGTGATTTGTTGTGTAGCATTTTCTGTGACAGTAACTAGAGGTGCATATGGGGGTCTGGACCTTGGCCACTATACTAGTTGTTCTAACATTACTAACTGCTGGGCCCACAAACCATAACTGGTTTTGACCACACTTCTGAAAGGCCAGGTTGGGGCAATAGAGGCGGTGTTAGCCACAAAGTGCTTTACTGGGCCCTGAATTTTACATCCTCATATACATAAAGCATAATTCAATAAAGATAGATTTGACCATCTACTAAGTAGCATGAACATTGCAACTCTCTGAACTTAATCTTTACCCTTGGAGCAAGTGAACATTTTCCCACCACATGAAGTTTTCTATGATCCAAAATAAATTTCCAGCATTTACAATCTGCCTCAAGATAAAATGAATCCATATATTTTTGTTTCTTGTTACTTTTTCCCTAAAATACTTTTTGGAAGATCTATTTAAAAGGGAAATTAATGAGCTGATATTTTATGAACTTTCTTTAGAATGGTTTCTCTAATAATCCCAGGAGGCCCTTCTTACTAATGTTAAACAATTCCAATATTCACTCCAGAGGTTTTAAGTAATTTTCTAAGCTTGGCAAAACATGTGGTACTTTCATCTACTATTCTTGCCCCAAGTAAAAGTAATGCTAATTAATATTTAAGTGGTCTGGAGGAGTATTTGTGTCTGTGTGTGCATGTATGTATGTATTACATTACTCGCCCCAATAAACTCCAATAGAAGAAAAGGAATCTTTATTCTCTGATCAATAAAAGATACTTCATTATCATCAAAAATAAAAATATCCTAGCGTAGTCACCAGTTCATGATAGGAATTTTTCTTTTTTTGAGACAGAGTCTCACTATGCCACCCTCAGTAGACACCCTCAGTAGAGTGCTATGACATCACAGCTCACAGCGACAGACAAACTCTTGGGCTTAAGTGATTCTCTTGCCTCAGCCTCCCAAGTAGCTAGGACTACAGGTGCCCACCACAATGCCCGGCTATTTTTTTGTCGCAGCTATCATTGTTTAGCAGGCCCAGGCTGGGTTTGAATCCACCAGCCTCGGTGTACGTGGCAGGCGCCCTACTTACTGAGCTATGGGCACCAAGCCAGGACTTAACTCTCATACTTGCTGGTAAGGGTCACATTGTGGCATTTTAGAAAATAATCATCAAAAACTGATGACTGGCTGGGCAAGGTGGCTCACGCCTATAATCCTAGCACTCTGGGAGGCTGAGCAGGTGAATTACCTGAGCTCATGGGCTTGAGACTAGCCTGAGCAAGAGCAAGACTCTGTCTCTAAAAATAGCCAGGTGTTGTGGCAGGTACCTACAGTGCCAGCTACTCAGGAGGCTGAAGCAAGAGGATCACTTGAGCCCAGGAGTTTGCTTTGAGCTACTGAGGGTGACAAAGCGAGACTGTCTCTCTGTCTTAAAACAAAAAACAAAATAAACAAACAAATAAAAAAAATGCTGATGACTGTTTTTAAGATACGGTAATAAATCTTACAAAAGGGTTCCTGGCCCCAAGGTGAAATAAAACAATCTTTCAGAAGGGAGTGTTTCAAAAGGAAACCATTCTCTGTTATGTGGCTAACTGATTCAGAACCAGCATCTTCATCCTAAAAGAAATCTAAAATAAAAGATTGGCAAAGAGGAAACAGAAGGCTCCTGTACGGTTCACCTTTAGCCTTGGGGGATTCGTGTGGTGCAGGAGGAAACCCTGAAACAATAAAGAGACTGTCTGCTCACTTGGATCAGGACAGCCTGCCGCTCTCCTTCACCCCGTCCTGCCACGGAAACATCACTCATTAAAGCAGACACCGTTATTATGGGTTGGGGCAGCGGGAGGAGATTAAAAAAAGAAAACCTTTATATCATAATAGGTTGAATCACATGAAATCGTCCCAAAGGTCAAATATCGGCAAGTTCATATGATTCAACTTAATATAATAAGCAAAAGTAAAACAGCTCCCCCTACACAAATACTCAACAGAAATTAGAAATATAAGCTAAATTGGGAGATAAGAGTTGCAAAGAAAACCAAATCCAACCTATGTCTCCAAAACAGCAGCTGTTATTAAAATTATTTTATAATATACGTTGTTTTAAAAGCACATAATAAAAGCATTTAATCCACCAACACTGTACTCTCCTCAGTGGGGAAATCTGCACATTCAAGTTTGGGGCCTTCAGTCAAGAAAAACAAATTTCTCAGGAAAATGTTGTGAAAGAAACATCGACATACCTGGAGAGCAACAGTTTACCCCGAAGCTGCAGGTCAGCCGCACAATCCTCTGAGCGGCAATTCCTTTCAAAAACAGTCTGTGAAAGAGATGGTTGGAAGAGAATTTATTGACAAATGAGTAAATAGCAGCCAGTTCCCTTCATTCTCCCCCCAAGCCTTTCAACCCCGCTACTCCCACCTCCAAGAAACCAGTCCCACAGCACGGTAAGGGGTCCTCCACAAGGCTCCAAGGAAGCCCAAGTCAACAGTAGTCTTGATTTTATGAGCACATTCCGTATTCGAGACACTTCCCAGTCTATCCGAGTGCTTCTTCAAGTAGTTTTTTCAAAACGGTGCACAGTAGGTGTCCTTTTTGTCTTTGCTTATCTGAGAATCTCTCTTAGAAGCTCTTAGATGAACAATAATCCAACTGAATAAAGAATTCTTAGATTTTAGCCTGATCATTTCCCACTATGTGCTGTCTTGGGGAGGTAGAAAATTTATACCTGAGATAGGTTCTGCTTCAGCAATGGGACCATACTGAATTTTTAGAAACAAAGACAAAAGTCAAAGTCCATTAGGCTGTTAGGCTAAGGGCACCACCACTGAACAGAAAGGATTATTTTTAGTGTCTTGTTGGGGTAGTCAGCAGTGAATAGGAACACATGCCTTTTCTCTAACCAAGATGGGGCCTCAATGGTCCAAGCCCCACCCAGTGCTAGGGCCTGATGCTTGGTGTGCAAAAACCAACCTATTTCCAGAGAGCTTGCCAGATATGCCTGAGGTTGGGCCTATCTGTGGGGGTTTGTCCAGATATCAGGAGCATCATTTGGGAGGGGTTAGAGCTTCCTTCTCTTAGTCCTACATAGAGGGCTTATTAGTCTTCCCCTCAACCTGGGCTGAACCCCTCTGGCATTCTGGATCTATGTTAGCAGCCTCCCTAAGTTCTAGTGGACAGAGACCCTTCACTATCATTAGATGGCTTTGACCATCTTGGTAGGATTTGGAGAGAAGAGTTTGTTGCCACTTTTTAGGTGCAATTTCTTTATTATTGAACTTCCTCATTGTCATTGCTCATGTTTTTAAGTTTTTTCCTTCCCACAAAACATAGTTTCAGGTGATTTGTTCCACTTCCACAAAATAAGGTCAGGCAGCATCTCAGAGCACCAGTGTGGGCTCCAACAAACTTGTTGGCCAACAGACAGTCTAGACTCAACCAGACAGAGTAATTTTGCCTGTGGAAATTCATATTCTTATGCCACATTTCCAAAAGAATAAAATGTTCCAGCCAACATTCCCTTCTTTGATTATGGGGGAAAGTAACATGGAAGTCTTGGGCAAAAAGAGGAACTTCCCATGTTCTTTTGGACACTACTAGGGTCAAGGAGAGAGCCAAATTTCCAAGAGATTTCAATATAAGACATTTGTTCTTTATTTGCTATCTCAGCCAAGAAGAAAACAGGATGAAGTGGGTGGCAGGACTGCATGAATATTTTAGGCGAGATGACAGGAGGGCTTTATGAGATTCAGGAACAGAGGGAAAACCCCAAAGATTGTTCCCTATCAAGCTAACAAAATTTGAACTCAGAAGACCTTCACTGACACAGCCACTCCCAAGAACTCACACCTAACTTTGTGTTTGAGATTTCACATTTTTCTCTTCAAGACCTCCCTCCCCCAAATTGTATAAGCTTCAGGCCCCACAAAACCCAGATTGGCCCCTGGGGGTGCAATTCCCTGCTCACACATGCCTTTGTCATCTTACAGGCAACAGAAAGAGTTGACATCAGGTGGGATACAAGGGTAGAAGTGGGGTGGGAAGCAGTGAAAACTCAGGAACAGGATGTGACTTAAATCCATCCTGCAACATGCAGGCTGTGAGATCTGGTCCCTGCCCTCATCACCTCTGCTGCCCTGGCTCTCTTGTGCCAGCTATCCCTCAGACTGGCCTTACAACTTCTCAGCCCAGGGCCTCTCCACAAGCTGATCCCCAAATTCCTCCACCTGCTTTACCCAGTAACTGTCCTCTCATCCTTCAACAAGCAAATCAAGACTGTATCCCAGGGGGCTGTATTGGTCTTGTTCACTTCTGTGCCTGCCCTCAGGGCCTGGCACACAGTTGCTACTCTGTTAACACTGAAGGACCCCACGGTGCCCTGAGAGGTGGGGTAACCACACAAATGGAGAGCCCAATGATGGATGCCCAAGCACAGAGCCAATGCTAGCTCACTATTCATCAATGCCAAAGCTGTGTCTTCCCACCTCCATGAAGTCTCTGTCTCTCAGCCATGTGAGATGAGGAATTCACATTCCCAGTGAGGAATTAGGTGCTTTGTAAATGCTCATTTTCTTTGTTGACTTTCTCTTGAATTTATTTTCTATCTCTTGAAATGGCCTTCTCTAGCAGTTAAATCCTCCAATGCTGCTGAATTTCCATCCAACAAAGACAACCACTGAGTCTGCCCTCTATATATACACGTGTGTGTATGTGTGTGTGTGTATCTGTGTATAGTATGTATATATACACACAATTACATGAATGCTTACACTGACTAGCTAAAATTAGCCCAAACTATCATAAAAAGATAACACAATTCCCATAAAAATCCCAACATCAGTTTTCACAGATCTAGAAAAAATGAATCTAAACTTAATATGGAACCAAAAAGACTCTGAATAGCCAAAGCAATCCTAAGCAGAAAAGACAAATCTGGAGGTATCATATTACCTGACTTCATCTTATACTACAAGGCTACAGTAACCAAAACAACATGGTATTGGTATAAAGGTAGACACATAGATCAATGGAACAGAATAGAGAACCAGAAACAAAGCCATATAGCTACAAACAACAGAGTTCTGACAAAACAGACAAAAACATATACTGGGAAAAGGATGCCCTGTTTGATAAATGGTGCTGGGAAAACTGTATAGCCATATGCAGAAGAATGAAACTATCTCTTACCATATACAAAAACTAATTCAAAAATATGAAAGACTTGACTGTAAGACCTGAAACCATAAAAACGCTAGAGCAGTGGTTCTCAACCTTCCTAATGCTACGACTCTTTAATACAGTTCTTCATGTTGTGGTGACCCCCAACCATAAAATTATTTTCATTGCTACTTCATGAAGGATATAGGTACGTGTGGCAGGGGAGTCATAATTAAGTGTAATGGACATAGGAAACTAAGAAGGGCGGAGGGTGAGAGGAGGGTGAGGGATAAAAATCTACCTATTAGGTACTATATTCCATTTTGGTGACAGGTACACTGACAGCTCTAATTTCAGCATGATACAATTCATCCATATAACAGAAAAGCCTTGTTCCCCCCAAATTTGCAGGGAAAAAACACAACACACTACCCAAGCCTCGGGAAATCAAAAGTCAAGCCCTACTTTAACTATGTTGCATCAAGAAAATTTACTTTTCCTCCTTCTAGGACTCAATTTTCTGATTTGTAAGATGATTAGCATTTAGCCAGAGATGGAAGTCTGTAGCTATTATACTCTTTTTTGTTTTAGGTCCTGTGCATCACTGTTTACACCGCAAATGTGAGTGACAACTACAACACGAATGAGTGAATAACATGAGGCTTCCCAGTTTGTAGTGAAATAAGGAGATACGGAGACAGAGAGTCAATAAGAATTTACTTTGGTGTATGTAACTGTATTTTTCAAGAATCAATGCAACAGTATGTTCATCACGCTCCTTACAAGGTGACTTTGACATTCTTCCCATGGAGAGGTAGGGTTTGACACTCCCTCTCCTAGACCTAGGATGGATTTGTGGCTGCAGTGGAAGTGATGCTATGTGACTTCCGAGGCTAGGTCAAAAAAAGCAATAGAGCTTACTCCTAGTTCTCTGGAGGTATTTGCTCTTGGAACTGAGACACTCTGCAGCAAGGAAACCCAAGTTTTCCATAGAGAGGCACATGTGGAGGGAAACTGACAGCCACAACAACTTGTAGACATATGAGTGAGTCATCATGAAAGTAGGACCCTCAGTGTGGTCCTCCAGCCTCACTGAGCTGCCCCAGCTGATAGACACCATGAGGAGCTGTCCTGAGCAAGCTCTGCCAAACTATAAACTCACAAATTCACTTGCAGTTTTCTCATTTTCCTGCTGTTATTGATGTCTAGTTTCATTCCTTGTGGTTGGAAGAAATACTTGGTATGATTCTGATTTTCTTAAATTTGTTAAGATTTATTTTGTAACCTAACATATGATCTATCCTGGAGAATGTTTCATATACACTTGAGAAAAATATGTATTCTTCTGCTATTATATGGAAATTTTGTATATATCTTCTGGGTCTATTTGGTCTATGGCATGGTTTAAGTCTGCTGCTCTTTACTGATTTTCTATCTAGATGTTTCATCCATTACTGAAAATGGAGTATTGAAATCTCCTATTACTATATTGCTATCAATTTCGTTTTTCAAATTTGTCAATATTTGTTTTACGTACTTAGGTTCTCCAATGTTGGGTGTGTATGTGTTTATAATTATTATATTTTTCTGAATTAACCCTTTTATCATTATGTAATAACCTTCTGTGTCTCCAGAGACAGCTTTTGATTTGAACTCTATTTTGTCTGATATGAGTATTAGCCACTCCTGCTTTCTTTACTTGGCATTTGCATGAAATATCTTTTTCTATCTTATGTGTACCTTGAATATAATGTGAGCTTTTTGTAGACAGCACATAGTTTGATCTTTTTTTTTTTTTTTTAGCCCATTTACATTTAAAGTAAGTTTTGGGGGAATTTTTTGTCTTTTTTTTTTTCTTTTGAGACAGAGTCTTGCTTTGTCACCAAAGCTCAAGTGCAGTATAGTACTATGGTCATAGCTTACGGTAGCGCCAAACTGGCCTCCTCATCCTCCTGCCTCAGCCTCCCAAAGTACTGAGATTATAGCTACATGCCACTACACCTGGCCTAATATAGTATTAGTAGGAAAGGATTTATTATTGCCATTTTGTTAACTGTTTTCTATTTGTCTTATAATTCTTTGTTCCTCTTTTTCATCCTTGCTGTTTTCTTTTGTGTTTCATTTTCTTTGTAGTTGCCAAGGGGATTATACAAAATATCTTAT